CCTAGTGGGGCTGTGCACTTCCTGGATAAGGTGAAGGTCCTGTAATACAGCCAGGAACCTACGCGAGCGGTCAGACCTAGCTGTCTGCTCCTCCCACCAAATGTCTAGGTAATTCAGGTCACCCATGACAGTAACATCCCTTGACCTAACCGCCTCCATAAGCTGACTGGAGAAGTCCTGGTCTAGCTCTTCCCCCTGGTTGGGTGGTCTGTAGTAGACACCCACCGTAAGGTCCCTTTCGCCACGCCCCCCTTGTAGTTTGACCCATAGTGTGTCTGCCCGACCCTCCTCTAACCCGAAGCTAATCCTTGATGATGTGAGGTGCTCTTTGACATAGAGTGCAACCCCCCCAACTTTCCTCTCTGTCCTGTCTCTTCTATATAGGGTGTACCCACGGATGCCCACTGCCCAGTTGTAGGTAGGGTCCCACCAGGTTTCTGTGAGCCCTACTAAGTCTGGGTTCTTACTCGCAATCAGGGGGCATAGTTCCTCCTGCTTACACCCCATACTATGAGCATTAGTGTAGAGGCACATGAGGCCTCTTGAGGGTGCTCGTGCCTTCCTCCCACTCCCAGGACAGTTGTGGCCCCATGCTCCTCAGACGTTGATGCTTACCTGTGCTTCCCTTCCTCTAGTATCCTCTCCACTCGAAGCGGCCCCTTCCTCCAGCGAAGCTAGTTTAAAGCCCACCGTACGAGATCAGCCAACCTAGAGGAAAAGATACGTCTGCCATTAGGGAAGAGGTGAAGCCCATCCCACCCCAGCATGCCCTCCTTACAAAAACATGGGATAATTGTCAAAAAACCCAAAGCCTGCCTCATGGCACCAGCTCCAAAGCCACTGGTTAACCATGTCAGTGCAGGCCTCATGACGCCTACCCCATCCACTTACCGGGAGAATGGAGGAAAATACCACCTGAGCTCCTGTCTTCTTCAGTTGGTATTCCAAGGCCTTATAGTCTGGAGCATAGCTGTAGCATAGCTGTAGAGGGCTGTACCCTGCACAGAAGGGACAAAGTAGGGAGAAAAGGCGGAAGGGTAGCTGTCTATGTGAAAGAGAAGTATGTCTCTGGAGGCTGACATTGGCTCCAAAGATAAGCAGCTTGAAACCATCTGGGTCTAGCTACAGGGGATTCGTAGACGTTAGGGTCGGAAGGGACCTCAATAGATCATCGAGTCCGA